ACAATATAAATACAATATAGTCACACATTCATTCTCTACGTAAAATATACCGTAAAGAAAACAATTACTTTAAAAAATATTTCCTAATAATTAGCTTTTTTTCAACAAACTTGGTCTAATTATGTATGAGCCAGGATAAAATGAAGGGTCAATAGCTACAGATGCATAATTTCACTCTGATAGAGTGCTGTTTGAAAATAGGTTATGACAATTAGATGATTAATTTTCTCCTATTAAATAGCATGATGAGACTTCAGATTACATTTATCAGTATATTCTCTTTAGTGGAACATAATATCAAGAAAGGCCAAACAGAAAAGGAATCCTATCTTTTGTAGAAGGATCTAAATGTACTTTTTATCAACCACATTTAGGGAAATAATTAGAAAATGAAATTTTGTTTGAAAACTTACTTTACGCTCAGTATTCAAAGTCACATGTTAAAGAATGATATATTAAAGGTTAAAATATATGAGGAACAAAAATCTAGATGTCCCGCTGGCATTTTTCATTTTTTATTTTTTTTGATTCTGGATATCTGCAAAGTATGCACCCCTTGTCAGTATAACTAGGGAGTGCCTGTGTAAACATTCTTGTTTCGCCTGTTCCACATAATCGTTTCTTGTATCATATTTCTTCTGACCTCGCTATCTGAAACCAATTACAGGAGATCCATTTGGGCTGCATCTATTTTCATAAGAAGCCTAGGCAGCAGTGTTTTTCTCAGAGATGAATATCAACATCAAATATGCTTCTGAGTGCTTTGTTATTTATGTTTCAGAGAGATTTTGTAGCCTTCAGCTCTCAAGAATGTGTCACGCTGTGCTGTTTATACATTGAAGATATTAATGGGCGTAGATGTCATTTTTCATTTTAATGTCTCAAATGCAACAGGCTGATAGGTTAAGCATTCCTATTTTTATGGGGCGAGATATGACTGATGTCTGTTTTTTCCCAAAATATACATATATTTACTTTGAAAAAAAGAATTTATTTATAAACCTTAGCATACTCAACATTTTTGGTTTCACTGGGTATTTCTAAACTATTTGCAAATAATTTTTTTTTTGGTGAAAGTTTTTAATGTTCTACAGAGAAAAAAAATTATCTGACAGGTTACAAAGCTTTTCACACAACTCATTAGAATTGCTCTATATGAGGTTCATAATAGCATAAAGTAGTGCTACTAGAAAAAAGTGGTATGATTCAACTTTTCTTACAGAAGTTTAGCTAAAATTACACAATAACTGGTATGATGTTTTTAATAAATATTTTAGAGCAAAAAGCACTCAATTTTGGAAAGCATGTGCGTTCTCACACCTTTGCAGCCTAACAAAATAGATGCCTTTAATCTATTATAAAGACTTACTCTTTTTTCAAAAATTTTTAATTTAATCTGATTCCAATTTTTACAAGGTCCTATCTTAATTTTCTTCAGCTTTACTAAAATTAGATAACTTCATTTAGTAAAGTCCACCCTTAATTCAAAACAAATGTGTTTTTGGAAACTAGATATGTTTTGGCTACCTTAGAGATCTCTTTCTTGTTGTTCATTTAAATTAAACTCAGTTATTATTTTTCTCTATTGTTTTAAATTAATTTGGGGGACAGAGTGATCATATAAATACCTCAGTAACTCATAGAACTTTATGAATGGGCCTAGAATTCATCTGTTCTATTTATTGATGGACGTGACAAGTGATTTTTAAATTAATATTTTGTGTAATTTGACACCTAACACCTTATATTGTTGCAAGTGTTTTATCTCATAATCTTTTATTTTTTGAATAGCTGCAATAATAAACTGTAAAGATTAACTAGACATTTCTGAGCCATTGTTTATTGAAATTCAGCCCCAAAGTGTTATTCAGAATACTGGAAATAAAATATGATGCATACAGTTAGAATGCTAACTGCCAGAGATTTCTGCTTACATGTTTTAAATCATTCCTGATTCTTTAGAATTTTTGTTCTCCTACCTCTTAGGTTTGCTGTAGCGATCTCTGTCAGTACCAAAAGAATGTTGAAATAGGCAAGTAGTTATTTTTTATGAGTTAGTATTGAAAAATGACCCTCAACTATTTTGAAGATAACTAAATACGTGTGAAAACCAAAGACTTTAGAAGTAGAAGCCTGTTTTAACCAGTATCTTGTAGTGTTCCATTATTATTATTACTCCATTACTAACAGTGTTGATGCATGCTTTTGGCTAATGATATTTTTGATGAGCATGAGTTCTAATGTATCTAATTTTCTAGAGTGTTTGTTTTCAATAGCCACTGGGCATTTAAATAGTTCATGTGGGTACTTGTTTGCTTGTTTAGGTTGAGTTGAATGAATATAATATAGAGTAGTGAAATGAATAGAGCACTCCAAGGCTTGGGGACAAGAGCATTAGTTTTTCCCCAGGTTCTGCAACTGCTTAGTGACTTTACTCAAGTTACTGATCCTTCCGTTACTTGTCTAAAAATGCAAAAGCTAGGCTAGACAACCTCTGACGTTTTCTTCAGTTCTAGAGTTCTACAGTTACATTAGTAATAATACGATAGATCAGATTATCAGGATGTTATGAGTTTAGAGCCCCATCAGATATTGGTAGAGTACATAATGAAATCCAAGTTAAAGATGATGAGACTGAGTTATACAAAATAGTATATATTCTGTGATAGTCATGTCATTCACTTACAAATTCAAAATGTAAAAAGATCATATTGTTTCCCCTTTAAGTTATAAAAAAAAATAGTAAGCTCTCTTTACAGGTAAAAATAAAAATTCATTATGATGTCTTCTGTTCTCCTTTACTAAAATTTTACTCATTGCCATCTAATAATTCCTTTGACAGAACAGAGACAATATGGCACACTGAAGGCTTTGTGGCCTGGAAGCCGGGAGACCTTGAACAAAGCACTCCTAAATTGCTTTGTGACCTTGAACAAAGCAACTGAGTACTCTAGGCCTCATTTTTCTCTTTTGCTAAAATGGGAAAGATAGGTTAGATGACTTCTGAGATTGAGTACTGAATCATTCGTAATTCCAAAATTCTAAAACTATATTCATTAGAATTCTTTAATACAAAATAGCTATACATAAACAAAATAAGCTAATCAATCAAAGAGGGAAGAAACACAAGGAAAAGATTAGGCACATGTTGTGTGAATCTTGACAGGAATGGGGAAAATAATTGACTGATTTTCTTTATTTTGAGACTTTCACATAGACACATTCTAGCCACACTGTAGTAATTTCCATTTGAAATTATCATTTGTAATTATTTTCAAAATTGTGATTAACAGATGAAAGCTGTATTATTTAAAATATCAAGTGACAATTTGTAGTGAATGTTGAGATCAAAAGTAATTATGGAATTAATTTTGGGATTTATTTTTTCCTTCAAACTGAACTCTGTATTAAAATTGGGGACGTTCACTGGCATGTGCCATTCTTGGAAATATTTAGGTTGACTTGTAATTATTTGAAAAGTTAAAAAAAAAAAAAAAGGAATATTGCCGTGAGTGAGTGTGACTCCAAATGTGAAAAGTGTGTCTTACAAACGATGCCAGATCCTGCAATGGGAAGACAAATCAGTGTTGTTAGGGGATGGTGCTAGTGCACTGAGTTTGTTTACTTTGGTTTCTATGTCTGCCTGCCTTCTCAGAAAACTTGCTTGGAGCCAGACTGTAGCAGCCCTCTCTCTGTCTTTTCATAATTGATCAGGGGATGACTGCCTTCCCTGAGGGTTAAGACGTGGCAACTTTTTCTGTTTGCTCAGCATCTCAATGCAGTAGTTCAAACATTGTTCACACCAGCTGGCAGTGTAATGCCATATGCACATCTTGTCAAAGCAACTGTTGTCATGGATACTGGAAACTCTCTTAAAAACCAGATCATTGATTCCAATCAAAATTATACTTTTTATCAGCGGAGAATCTTAATTATTATAGGAGAATATTGATCTAATGATGTTTTTCTCCATTATGAAAAATTTGTCTTACATTCTAAAACACTGAATTACGAAGTAGGACAAGGCTTATTTTAGTTTTCCGTGTTGAAAAATTTCATTACTAGCATTCATTGAACTCAGTTGAGAGAGAAAATGAATTTAAAATAGAAGCTCTCAAAAGTTGTTGTTTTTTTATTTATATTAGTACCTTTAAACAGTATCATGTATTTTGTGTTGTGACACTAGTTTTTATATAATAAGTTTATATACTACATTCACTACACTTTTTATGCTACAGTAAATGAAATGCTTGCATTAATTTCTTATGTTAAGTTTTATTTTCCCGAGTGGGAAAGAAAACATAAAAATAAATGAAAACATCTTCTATTTTGATTGGTATTCTGTCACACATAGAAACAAACCTGATTGGTTGAGTGGTAATTTCTTTGTTCTCTGATTTTGCTAAGAATGCAAATGAAAACCACTCAATTTTATTTGGCATTAAAACTGCACTTTATTTTGTCAAAGGAGAGGTTTCCCCTTGAATTGTAAGTACAAAAAAAAAAGTGTTTTTAATCTTTAGTGAAAATCCTTATTAATTCACTTTCAAGATAATCTGATGTTGATTTGTCAAATTTAATTACAGCTTCCGGTAACACTTGAAGTCTACTGCTTTTGCTTCAAAATTGTAATATGAAAATGCAAATTGAATGATAATTTAAAAGGGAGTGGGCATTTTAGTTGAACACTCAAAGACAAGTTCCTTGTGGAAATGAGGTTATTGATGCAGTTTATGATTTCTTCCTCTTTAAGCACTTTCAACAAATTAACTTTATTTCTTGCAGGATTACATGCATCTCTGTGATTTTGAGTAAAGTTATATATGTGTGTTTTATGAATGTTTTGCATATTAAAAGAAATAAAATAATACTTTTCTCTAGGAAGGAAGCTGAAAATTCTCACACATTTCCACCTTCTACTATTGAACAGGGAAAAACTGGTTAATAATAAATTTAACTTTCAACAAAATATTTAGATATTGCTTCCTTTTTACTTCTAGGCTCTTCAGGCTGCAAGACAACTTCTCTTACAGCAGCAAACAAGTGGATTGAAATCTCCTAAGAGCAGTGATAAACAGAGACCACTGCAGGTTAGTAAAGCACTCCCATATTGGAGATCCTTTTTAAAAAGATGTTCCTAATGATAACAGATGTTCAAACTCATGTCGTATGCATGTAGGAAATTATCACATCTTCATATATATAGGTAATTTTAATTAAATTAATTTTGTGTTCTTAAAAAATATTTTTATTACCATAGATTTTAAAGTGTACAAGTTCACTCCTTGCAAATATTAGGTAGGACTCCTTGCAAATATTAGGTAGGACATTTGCTGTACATAGACATAAGGTATTTTGTATCAAATTTATGGGATTTTTAATGGGTTTTTATTCACACTTAGGTTAAAATGTGAAAATTTTTCCTTAAAAGCAAAGGCATAGTAAAACAGTGTGGAAGGAAACAAAGCAGTCTTTAGACAAACCTTCCACAGTTGTATCCAAGTGACAAATGCAGAAAACCTCCAGGATTGCCAAAAGAACTGTTTGAGTTTGCCAAGGAGTTACTGCTGTTGCTACAGTTATAAAAACACATTCTGGAGTTTGTTGTCCTTACTCACTCTGTTTGTCCTGTGAAACTGATAGTATGTATGTCTTTTAAAATAACTTTTGTTACATATTATAACCATGTTTTATATAGTTTTCTTAAGTATATAGGACATTACCTAGAGGAAAAAATCATTTTTTAAGGAGCGTTTTTAAAAATTTGGAGGGTAGAATTTGGAATTACATAAAACATCTCTCAAAGTGTCCATCAGCTCTGTTGAAAGATAAGGAATTTTTTTTTTCCTGAATCATGTTACTATTCATGTTTAATAAGGTATGGTTAGTTTTAGTTTTGTTTGTTTTCATTAAGTAGACATCCCTTGTTATTTTAACAAAACAATCTTTTTTATGGGCTAGCTGTTTCCATTTTCAGGTGTTAGTAAGTAGGTCTTATGTGATGGTCTTCTGAAGCTTAGTTTGTATGACAGAATTATATGCTACTGCTCTGAATGATCCAGAAATTACTTATTACCTAAAAACTGGATTAAATGTATGGCCTCTAAGCAAATTTTCTTGGGAGCAAATTTTCCTTTGTGGGGCAGTGGGTAGAAAAGGAGCTTGGGAATTGAGGCTATTATATAGTACAGGTATCTGCCATGATTGCAAATGAAAATTGTATTCAGTCAACCTGAGTTTAAGTTCTTTCTCATTTTTGTTCTTTTAAATACATTCTACATTCTTTCATTTTCATTAATGATTGATTCTGTGACACTTTCCTCAGCATCCTCTCCCTCCTCAAGTCATAAGATTGAGTGTAATATTTTCATTCAGTTCTCTGAGTCCATGAAAGTCTCTCCATACATTTCCTTGACAGAGGAATATTAACAGGAAAGTCACAGAAGATAACAGATGAACTATTTGTGTCCACTCTGGTTTCTGAGTGAGATTCTTGCTTTCTTGTTGGTATGAAAAGGAGGTTCAGATGCTGGCAACATAAGCCAAAGAGAGAAAAGAAGCTGTTGTTTTTCAGTGTCTGAACAGCATTATATACAGTCCTAATTCTATGTTATATTTCTTGACAAAACAGAGGAATTTGCAGTCGCTTCTTCCTCTTCAAAGCCAAATCCAGTACAAGTTTCTTTAGTGCTGGTTACCAGGGTAGCTCTGAAAAGCATGGCTGGGCTTTAGTTTCTTTACTTTCTTTTGTTGTTGTTGTTGTATTGAAAGTCAATATTCAATATTTTGATTGGCTAAAATATACATAATTTTTTTAGAAAGCACACACATAATGTGGAAATATTAATGACTCTGAAAATGAGAAATTGTTGTTCAAATATCAATGTTGTATAAATAAAATATTTGTAGAACAGAAGACCCCCATTGCATAATTTTAGCATGAAAAACTGATTAAAAGTGTCATAAATACCTTTTAGCGATTACAGTGCTGACCATTTCTACAAAGAACTTTCATTATGTCACTTTTATGTAGTGTTTTGTGATGCATATAAATCTGAATGTATCTCCATGATATAGATTATAAAATTGTAGTAGTCTCGCATTATATTGCAATTCAAATGTGATCTAATGCCAAAACATCATGGGAATGAGAAACTGGTTTTTATAATAAGAATTTAGAAATAGTGTTTGAAGACTTATTTGTTCACCAAAATATATCTGCAGTTATTATAATGAGAGCAACCTTTCTAGTATTTTCCAGTACATGATAAGCTTAGCAACTGGAAACATGCTGGGATTGTATTAAAAATCTAACATAAACCTAACAGCATTTCATACTAGCTTACACCTCTGTTGTCAAATGTGGTTGTTAGGAGATGTTTATCCTTGCATCTGCAAATACTATTTAGCATAAGTTGCAATGTTTGTCACCTGTAAAAAATAAGACAGAACATTTTTGTTAAAAATGTTTAATCATTTACTAGGAATTAAGCATTTAAAAAGTTTTCTAATATGATTCTCTCACAGTGTAATTATTTGTCTACTTAACTAAAAGTTTAACCAAACTTTTATAATAGAGTTAGTATAGATTACTTTTTAAGTTTCAAAAAGGTAATTGAAAATGTCTCAGAATTTGCACTTGCAAGGCAAAGTATTTGATATTAATAGGTCATGATGGTTCTTACTATATAAAGCATAACATCTTTAGAGAAAAAAGATAATGTGTGATTTTTATTTAAAATATAGTTTTGATAGAGACCAATCTAAAGGAAATACAGATTTTAAAACTGTTTTGATGGCTCAAGTCACAAGAACAATACTCAGTTGTTTGTTTACATTCACCTGAATTTTTTTGCATATTAAAAAGTGATGACCAGATTTGAAGTGTTACATGGCACAGAGTCTACATCTATAGACCAATATTTATTTACCTTTTTTTTTAAATTTACATTTATTCAGGTTTTGGTACCACAAATGGCATAGCTATTAACATGTCTAATACAAAATGGAAAGAAAAAAATCACATCTGACAAGTCTGAGTACCAATGGCAGTAGTGATTTCACTTTCATGTATAGATACACACACACACACACACACATATAGATTTGAATATATTTATATATTCTGTTAATTACACGAAGTAGCAACTGAATAGGCCCATTAAATGGGAAGGTACATTGATTAATCACATGTTGGTGAATAATATATAAAGATTGTAATGCAGATGATGCAAATGCAAGCTGATGTTAACCAAACCATTACCAGGTGTTTCTTCTTTACATTCTTAGTATGTATACCAGAAAACATACCCTAATAGTAACCGCTGGAAATGGCCTCTTGTTTTAATTTATTTACTAATGTATATTCTAGCACTTCCTAGATTTAATACACTCATAGTGATTCTTAATGAGGAAAACTATCCAAAAAGAATATCTAATACTTTTAATTTCATAAAACAATTTCCAAGTTAGAAAGAGTAAATTAAAACACACATGCACACATTTGCACATATGTGCACATATGCACACTTGCATAATCTATAAATTTAAACATTTTTCTGTAAGAAACATTATCAATTTTCTAGCCTATGACAGATCTACTTAACTTAGTTTAGATATGAAAATCGGTCGCATTATTGTTCTTGTTACATTTACAGCCATGAGACAGACTTGTGGTTCTTCAACAGCTGTGCAGAGCAGAGACGTAAATTTAAGGTAAATGCCATTGCTTTGCTATCTTAGATGAATATTAGTATATAATATTTTAATCACTTCCTTTGACATAGGTTAATAAGGTTTTATCCATAGACAACTAAAATTCTTAATTTTAATAATTTGTCTTAAATTCAGAATGGAGTGATAAAAACAAAAGTGAATTAAACTTTGGAGTCTTTTTCGGACTCTGCCATAAGACAACTCTATAAGTTTGAGGAAGTTACTTCAAATATTTAAAATAAATATATTGGGCTAACTGGTGGACAGGATCTCAAATTCCATGGTTAAAGATTTAGCTTATTTTTGTTTATTTTAGGTATGTAATAGGGATGTTAATTTTTCAGGATTAGCTGTATTTGTTTGATAATAGCTTATGAGTTGAGGATTGTGTTCTTTTTGACTTACTTGTTTTTACTTACAAAGCACTTATTTATTGACATGCCATAGTCAGAAACGATGCTTTGGAATCAAATAAATTAAATCCCATATGTATGGAACTCATGGCGCAAATATAATTTTGTACAACATCTAAAGATACATTATTTTGTTTAATGCCTTGTATTAATAATATAAATCACACTTAGAAATGTAAGCTACATATAGAATTATATGCTACATAAGTAAATACCCCTGTATTTAATCATCTAAATTTATATATGTTTTGATATTATGCAATTACCTTATTTCTACCTTCCTTTATGTCTTCATCCCAAAATAGTAAAATTAGTATCAGCAGACAAAGTTGGAAATTCTGTAGTAAACTAATCAGCAATTCTAACATTTTATATGCTATATAAAAAACTCAATAATCATGCATAAAAATTTTATAATTAAAATATTATGGGAAAGATACTAACCTTAGTGGGATATAGAATTGGACATTGCTACATATGTTTTAGGAAATGATGAAATTCCATTTATGCATTAACAATTAATGAAATTGAATATTTTGTAAAATAAAATTATAGTGTATAACAATTACAGAAATGCTAAAACACACTTTCTTCCAAGCACTTAAAAGAACATATCAGGAAATTTGAGATCTAAGTCTGAGTAGAGCTATCTATTATGGTGAGGAAAACTTACAATTTTTAAAAGGTGTTCTTTGCTCTTTGTATTTTCTGTATATATATATATA